AATTTTGACAACTACCCATGTAGCTTTGAAGTCCAGCTGTAGCTTTGTGGGAGTCGGGCGTTGGACTTTCAGGTGCCTTGCACCTCTAACCCCCAAAGCCCCTGCAATCCAAACTTACGCCCGAAGCCCTAAACAGTGCTGCAGAAGCCCTAATTCAAACACCTTTTGCTCTGTGGCCTTCTGAAATTGTGTTTGGCAGCAGAAACTTTTGCTGTTCCAGACTTTTACTTTCCTACGAAGCCACCTGGAAAGAACACATACATGTGCGGACTGTTGCCAAAGAGGGTGTCTGGTGCGAGGCACTTTGCAGCACAAGCAATATACGATGATAGGGGTGCCAGGCATGTCACCAGGCACGTCAATTGGAATCGTGGTTATGCAAAATGTTAGCATCTTTAATTTTGAGCAGCCGCCGCCACTTCCGCGTCGACTCAGGCGGCGACGATCGCAGCATTTGCATTTGGCGGCGAGACGCCCTTTGGCTCATGCAAACATGTCACAGTGTTCTTGATTGGAGGAGCTGTGAGCGCAGGGTTAAGCACCGTATGTTGGCTCAACCACTGTTCAGAGCAGATGCACTTCTACCGCCCAGGAGATTGCAAGCAAGCGCGGGCAGGACGAATATGCTGGATTGCTTTGTTCACCCGGAGCCTGGCATACACCCTGCCTGAACCCCCCCCCCCCCCCCCCCGCGCAGGCGGAGTGCAGCAGCCGCATCGTGAGCCATACAGACTTTGCTGGACGCTCAGGATCCTTGCATGGTCTTGGTACTATAGGGGCCTAAATAATTACCAATACTATTTTGGGGATGCCTTTCTCTTCTATTTATATATAGTATAATATACGTCCAAGCTGTATTCTGCTTACTAAGGCCCTTACATTGTTTGGACATATAGGACTTACGGGTGGCCAGCATTCGATAAGCTCGTGAGGTCCGCGCAGTTGCCCTTTGCAACAGCTTCCCCGAGCGGCTGCTGCCAAGCACCCGGCCTGTGTCGAAGTCTGCTGGGTCTACTGGTTTTTGACGATTTTTGAAAATCCGGTCCACAGAGGTCTGCAAGTGATGACCAGCGAGTTATCCTGTGGAATCTCCACAGCAGAGAGAAGCTCCGCGAGTGTGGCACTTACTCCTTCTGAGAAGATTCGGGGTTAGGGATCTGAACAGTGCATAATACTATTCCGACTATCCCTTAGTCCCTGATAGTGTAGTGTTGTCTATTCCGACTATACGCTCAGTCCCTTATAGTTTATAGTATAGTTCCTCTTAGTGTTGAGGTCCCCATAGCTGGCTGCCTGGATCGACACCTGGCTATGCCGAGGTACCAGCACCCATGCAGTGTTGTGGCTGTGGTGCTGATGGGCCCTTCACTGGCAACTGCCGGCGAGGAGCTGTTGCTTGACTTGGCTTGCCGAAAATGTGTGGTCCTGCCGTTCACTGCTGCAAGGACGGAAGACTTCGGATTTGGCAGACTGCCCCATGTCGGCATGCGATTGTGAGCACCGGCAGTGCCAGGAAAAGTGCGAGTTCCCACATGAATTCACATGAAAGACACACGTCTACGATTTCCATTGTTACTCCATATCTACTACTGCTAGCATCTTCGCCATGATTACCACAATTACTTTTATTGTTTTTTCATACGTTATTGCAAATCTTCTGACAGCTCCCAAGTGCAATCAGGCACTGACCAATCCCTTGATGAGTTCCAGTGCGCATGCCAGGCACGTAGATTAGATAGAATATGCACCTCACACGAACCATTATCCTCAGTTTAAACAACCTTCCGTTTCAGCTGGTCCACTGCGACTCGCCTGAAGCATCCATCGTTCATCCAGGCCTCACGGTTCAACGCAAGAGCCGCTTTCACCTCATCTCGGGAGCTGAACTGTCCTTGTAGCTCAGTGGCCTTTTTTGTGGGGGGACCTCATTGTCAGCACCACCGTTGCAATTCAACTTGTGGTTTGGAGAAGCCTTTGACGTATGTGCTGCTGCACTGGGCGAAATCTAAACTAAACCGATGTCGAGATCTCTCGAGTGAAAGACTGCTAGAAATAAGTGTTCGCACTGGTTCACAATGAAGACGTCATCTCGTCTGTCTGTGTGAGAGGTCAAAGACAAAAACAGCATGTCAAGAAAACACCTGCGAGGTCTTCGGTAGATTCAGACCCAAGGCCCACGCATACATAGTCTCCGGAAGATTCGACTCTTCACGAGAAACAATTGACAAGATATCCTCAAGGGAGGTTGTGGGAATCCTGATTTGAAGCTTTTGTCACTGTGCATCTCGGGAAAGTCCTTCTGAAAACTTCGTGGTCTAGAATCTAGAACGTTTCCAAAAATATTCCGTCGTTAAGGATGGACCACAGGATGATTGGTGAATTGCAATTTATAACATCTGGGGCAAGTAATTACATACATGCACATGCACTTGACCATAAGCAGGGAGAGCGCAATGTAATCGTGTAGCAAGTCTGTTTACCAAAGCCTCTACTTCGACCCTCTTGAACACCTAAAGTCTTGCGACCCTTCGCTCAAGCCTTTCAAACCTGATAGCCCCTCCTGTCTCCCCGTTTAGATCCCTTTATTACGAACTTGAATCCAAGCGCAACAGGTTCCTAAACCCTAGCGCCGAAACCTTACACCCTCAGATCGAGGAATCTGCAGAGTTGCAGCACAGCTTGAAGCCAGAGCCTCGTGGCACAGTGTGACTTTGGGGCTGCGGTACTATCCAGGACTTCGAATTCAGGATTCAGGGCTCGTGGTTGGTGATCTGAGTTTGGGTCAATGAGGTTTAAGGAGCCCTTGGGGCAGGGCAAATGTGCTGTGGTCTCTGATGGAGTCCACAGGAGAGTGCTTGTGTAACGTTTAGAATTGAGGATGCTTATGTTTAGGGCAGAAGGTATGTTCTGGGGTTTGTGGTTCATAAGCAGCGCTTTTTATGGTGTAGGGCTGAGTAGGGGGTTTTAGAATTATTTGGTGCGGATTTTCTGGCCTTCAGCGGCTTTCAGGGCATAGGGTGTTTTGGACATCATCTAGGGACTTGGAATGCCTTACAGTCCGTTTTTGTTTTGCCAAGTTGTGCTTCGGTGCCTGTTAGGCTTGGAGGGCATCCAAAGACTTGCGTGCTTGAAGTGTGTAGAAGTCGCTGTTGGCAGTTTGCAGAATCTTATATTACATTGAGTTCTCTCGCTCAGCCATGTAGGAGGCAAAAAAGTTGAGTTATATAAGTTTACTGTCGCCCTTTTCTATAACATATCAATTTTCATTGGAGGTCCCAGTTGGCCTCCCACCCAAGAAATGCCACGGCCCAGCCCTTGGTACAGCTCGTCAGGCTAGCAATGTGAAACTCTTGCTACTACCACCACCACGACCACGAGAATTACTACTACTGCTGCTGCTGCGACTACTACTACCACTACCACTACTACTACTACTACTACTACTACTACTACTACTTTCACTACTACTGCTACTACTGCTACTACTACTACTACTACTACTACTACGACTACTACGACCACTACG